CATTCTACACCTTTAGGCACCAAGCAGATATGTTGTTGTTATTATTATTATTATTATTAACTGAATCCCTCAATGTGTGCATTCCTGAATGAGACTTTGTCCCTTTGTTCCATAATGAGTTAAATGGCTCTGGGAAGTGACTTGCTCATATGATACCCTCCAACATTTCTCCAATGAAAATAGGGTCACTAATAATAATAATAATAATAATAATAATAATTTTATTATTTATACCCCACCCATCTGACTGGGTTGCCCCAGCCACTCTGGGCAGCTTCTAACATATATAAAAACATAAGAAAGCATTCAACACTAATAAAAATTCCCTATACAGGGTTGCCTTCAGATGGCTCAAAGGTCAGATAACTCCATCCTCTCCAACATTTTTCCGATTAAAATAGGGATGTACTAAGGAAAATCAGGACATTCCAGGATCGAATCGGAAACCGGACGGCTTCTGTAAATCTGGGACTGTCCCTGGAAAATAGGGAAGCTTGGAGGGTCTGTAATTTCAGGATTTGGGTGCTAGAGTTCAGAAACTTTGAAAGAATGGCATAAAACTGGAAATTTCATGACTGCATCGGTTTAGATAATACTTTTAACAAAACATCTTAGAGCCACATGCAGTTCACATTCTCCTCCCCTGTCCCTCATAAATATTTCTCAATGAAAATGTTCCTTCTGCTCTTCTTAGAAATGTTAATGGTTTGAAATAAACACACATCATTTTAAAAAAAAGACTAAAAAGATCCAAAATCATCCGAGAGGGCCACAAGCTATTGTTCCCAGCATGTAGTCCATATATCACTTTAACTGTGCAGTGTATAACCTTGCTTTAATCATCCCTCCTGAAAACATGTGGGATACTCATCTGCCCTAATCCTTGTCTATAGCATTTCCAAAGTACTTTACAAGCCTGGAGTAACTGACTTTAATGCCTCGCAGCAGCTGAGCTGGTAGCACACATGATATCTCGAATGTAACAATCAAAGAAGCATGCAAGATTCTGGTATTTCCGCTGGGTAACTTGCAGATGTGCAGGAGCCAGGTCCAAAACTGAAATGTCAATTGTGAAAGGGGCCGGCGGGGAGGCTGGGGGAGTTTTAAAAGCAAATAATGTTTCATTGCCCTGTGTCAACACCCTTCTAATGTGAGGGGACACTGCCTGATAGGGAACGGAGCTGGTTTTAAATATCGGTTACCTGACCCCGACAGTAATTTCTTTTATTGTATGTGTGTCCATGAATAACGTTGCTTGGGATTTATGTAATGCTGTATATTGTGTTATTAAGCCACAGCATGTGGAATCCTTCAGGTGCTAAGCTTTGATGTCCAGTTTTCCCCCCTCCCATGTTCATTGGAAGCAATGCTCTTGATTTAAAATAATCCTCTTATTGGAAAGTTGAAAAGGGGAGGAAGCGAGCTTCAGGGTGAACCTGGAACTTTTCTCTTTCTGTCGGTCCCACTTCAGATTCTCCTTCGCACTCCTCCTCCTCCTCCTCCTCCAAATCCCACTTTTCTGATTCTTTTTAGTGCGATGGAATTCAAGAACCGCTCCAAAAAGCAAAAGTATAGCTCCCTGCAACATTTTATGGCGTGGAATGTCGTTTATGGCCTTGGAAACGTTAGAATTTACTGACAAGAAGGCTGTGGACTTACTTTAAAACGATTGAAGAGTGTAAAAACACACACACGCACAAAGGCAACTTTCCATTTCCTCCGACTATTAACCAAAAGCAAAAGCAGGAGACAGGAAAATGGGGGAAAGGAGGTCAGGGAAAGCGAGGAGAGGCAAACAAATGTCTTTTCGCAAAAACGTGAATATTTCGTTAGAAGCTTATACTGATCGCAGACTCGTATGACGTACGATAACCCCCAAGGCCCTGCTAGATAAAATAATATAACAGCCTAACAAGTACGTCTCACTGCCAGTATCTTAGCAGGACCATTTTCGATATGATTTCTTCAGCCATTTGGTAGATCTCCACACAGGGTCCATTGTAAGCTGAATTGTTGTTGTTGTTGTTTAGTCGTTTAATCATTTCCGACTCTTCGTGACCCCATGGACCAGAGCACGCCAGGCACTCCTGTCTTCCATTGCCTCCCGCAGTTTGGTCAAACTCATGTTAGTAGTTTGGAGAACACTGTCCAACCATCTCGTCCTCTGTCGTCCCCTTCTCCTTGTGCCCTCCATCTTTCCCAACATCAGGGTCTTTTCCAGGGAGTCTTCTCTTCTCATGAGGTGGCCAAAGTATTGGAGCCTCAGCTTCAGGATCTGTCCTTCCAGTGAGTACTCAGGGCTGATTTCCTTAAGAATGGATGCGTTTGATCTTCTTGCAGTCCATGGGACTCTCAAGAGTCTCCTCCAGCACTGTAATTCAAAAGCATCAATTCTTCGGTGATCAGCCTGCTTCATGGTCAAGCTGAATTATTCAAGGTCTTTTCCTGTAAATTAAATGCTAATTTGTGCTGTAAGTTTTTAGATCATTGGCCCAACCAAATGTACAATTCATAACATACCTCTTTACATTCAAATATCATGTCATCTTTAAAATGCGTAACTTTTAATTCAGTGCAATAGATTCCAGAGAAAAGATACAGCTTCATGAACAGCAAAAGGAGTGGTGCTGGTTCCTTTGGGTGTCCCTGTCGCAGTGCCTCCCTCCCCCTAATCAAATTCTAAGGTGAAATTTGAAAGTACAAACTCAGGCAGATAGTGATCTGGAATTAAAAATAGCCACAACTTTATTGAGTACTTGATTATTGGGATGCAGGTGGCGCTGTGGTCTAAACGACTGAGCCTCTTGGGCTTGCCGATTGGAAGGTCAGTGGTTCGAATCCCCGCAACGGGGTGAGCTCCTGTTGCTCTGTCCCAGTTCCTGCCAACCTAGCATTTGGAAAGCACACCAGTGCAAGTAGATAAATAGGTACCACTGTGGCGGGAAGGTAAACGGCATTTCTGTGCGCTCTGGTTTCCGTCACGGTGTCCTGTGGTGCCAGAAGCGGTTTAGTCCTGCTGGACACATGACCTGGAAAGTTGTCTGCGGACAAATGCTGACTCTCTTGGCCTGAAAGCGGAGATGAGCGCTGACCCCTATAGTCACCTTTGACTGGACTTAACAGTTATGGGGTTCTTTACTTTTACCTGATTACTTGATTGATTACTTACTTTTAGCAATAATTTTATTATTTAGATCCCGCCCATCTGGCTGGGTTTCCCCAGCCACTCTTGGCTTGCAGCATATATGTTTGTTGTTGTTGTTTAGTCATTTAGTCGCGTCCGACTCTTCGTGACCCCATGGACCAGAGCACGCCAGGCACTCCTGTCTTCCACTGCCTCCCGTAGTTTGGTCAAACTCATGCAGCATATATAAAACATAGTAAAACATCAAGCATTAAAAACTTCCAGAGCTGCCTTCAGATATCTTCTAAAAGTTATGCAGTTCTTTATCTCCTTGACATCTGAAGGGAGGGCATTCAACAGGGAGTAATTGATTGATTACTTAAAACGGCCACAACTTTATTGATTGCTTTGGCTCAGGCATTGGGTGTCTATCCATTCCTGCCTCCTGCCAGCGGTCTGGAACTGCTACAGGGCTGTGACAAGGATTATGGTCTCCCCAACACGTCAGTCTACTGAGGTGGCTGTCCTAAGGCTGCGGTTGGAAGTCCTATGGCCTGTCAGCCTCATGCTGGCATCTGGACAGGGACATCCATCAAGACTCCTTTAACAGGTACCCTGAAAACATCTCTGGTTCAGTACTGCACCACTTCACCCATCACTCAAGGACTAGGATTCTGCTCAATGCTTAACTGCCTCAAGTTGTGACCTTTTGCTATGGGGAAGAAGAAGAAGAAGAAGAGTTTGGATTTGATATCCCGCTTTATCACTACCCAAAGGAGTCTCAAAGCAGCTAACATTCTCCTTTCCCTTCCTCCCCCACAACAAACACTCTGTGAGGTGAGTGGGGCTGAGAGACTTCACAGAAGTGTGACTAGCCCAAGGTCACCCAGCAGCTGCATGTGGAGGAGCGGAGACGCAAACCCGGTTCCCCAGATTACGAGTCTACCGCTCTTAACCACTACACCACACTGGCTCTCCACACCACACTGGCTCTCCAAAGGCAAAACTTGTCCATTTGTCTATAGGCAAATTCCTTCCTGGGCTCTGAATATGGCAACCATTAGCAACCATAGCAAGCTGAGGAGGTACAAGAAAGCAAATGGTTCAGCTCTGTGCTATTTCTCTAGAAAAAGAGGTGCTGGAACTCACCAAGAACACCTTCCTCGTTTTCTTAGAATGGCAATGGTGCCACTCAAGAGGTGCTGGAACTGAGTTCTGTTCTGGTGAATTCCAGCGGGATAAAAGCCCTGGTTAAGCTGAATATGACCTAGGAAATAATAATAAAAAACCATCATTAATGCAGGCTTCATAATCACAAAGAGACATAAACACATCTAGGCTCTGTTCAGACTTTCAGGGGAATGCATAGAGGTCAGTCAAGAGCAGCGAAAGTAGACATTCACTGAACATCTGCACACACCTAAAGTCCTATTGTCATGCTCACAAAGGTGCTGTGGACATTTCCTGTCCAAATCACCCTTATAAAATCAGGAACGAGTAATGTGATATTAATGGAGTGTCACCACCAGAAACATCCCAGAAACAGCTGATGGAGTCCACACCTCATCCCAGTAGGGCTCCACTTTTAGGGGGATTGAGGATAACAGAATGCATACCTCATTTAAAGGCATCTGGAACAGCCATCTGGAAAAACAAAAACAAAACACATTGCAGGGAATATTGTCTCCTTTCCCACCGGCAGTTCTACTGAGGAGTAGGAGGATAAACTCATCCTCAGAAGTGGATTCACTGCTGAAGAAGGGAAGAATGTGCTGGGCATTTTCTCTCAATTCATGCCAGGAGAGAGGTTGATGATCATGGAATCGTCAGAACTGCAGAGTTGGGACCATAAGCGTCATCTAGTGCAGGAATCTTTTGCCCAAGGTGGCTCTCGAACCCACAACCCTGAGATCAAGAGCCTCATGCTCTACCGACTGAGCTACCGAGGCATGCAACAATACGATAGACAGCCGTAGATAGCAGACACAATTAAAGTTATGGCGGCAGAGTCACCATTGCCTGTGCAACACAAACCTATTTGTTTTATTAGAAGACATCTGAAGGCAGCCCTGTTTAGGGGCGTTCTTAATGTTTGAAGTTTTATTCTGTTTTTAGTGTTCTGTTGGGAGCTGCCCAGAGTGGCTGGGGAAACCTAGTCGGATGGGTGGGGTAGAAATAATAAAATTATTATTTAGCAACCATTCTCTGGTCAACAGGTGTGTAAGGGTTTGTAGTGTTTCACTAGCAGGTGGGCTGCATATGTACTTAGGACTGCAGCCTTGTGGACTGAATCTTATGCCAACTTGAGTCCTGCCCCACATAATTGATCACAAGGCATGGAGCATGCACATCATTTAAATGGCAATACCCATCAACTTGGGTTGGCAGCCCCTCGAATATTTTATTGGGGGGGGCGCGTGAAGGGACCTCAGCCCCTAGGAACTGGCTCCTTTGATCTTATGCATGTTTATTCAGAAGTAACTCCCACAGAGCTCACAGATTTTCATTATAGTCTAAAAGATCTGGAGGGCACCAAGTTGGCAAAGGGTGATGTAACCCAACGCCATAGTAAGGAATTCTCAGGGGGGAAATATGCTAGACATTTTATTGTTTTGGTGGTGATTATCCAAACTGGGATGAAGTGGAGGAAAAAATGTTTGCTGTTGAGTGCACATTTTTATAATATAATGGGAAGAGGGTGAATAGATACAGTAGATACAATGGTACCTCGGGTTACATACGCTTCAGGTTACAGACTCCGCTAACTCAGAAATAGTACCTCGGGTTAAGAACTTTGCTTCAGGATGAGAACAGAAATTGTGCTCTGGCGGCGCGGCAGCAGCAGGAGGCCCCATTAGCTAAAGTGGTGCTTCAGGTTAAGAACAGTTTCAGGTTAAGTACGGATCTCCAGAACGAATTAAGAACTTAACCTGAGGTACCACTGTATGTATTTTATTACATTTATATCCCAGCTTCCTTCCGAGGAACTAAAAGCGACTTACACGGTACTTTCTCTTCTTTAATGCTCGCAACAGAGGATGGAAACTCTAGAAGGAACATCTCAGAGTGAAGTCTCACGCACTGTGTCTCCTCCACCTCATTTTTTGCACAGTGGCAGAGAAATCTCAGCCTTCCTTTCCTACTTTCACTGACAGATCTTAATACTTCTTTAAAGCACCACAAAAAAACAGGTTAAGGCAATAATTAACCATCTTTCATATGTCAGCTGTTCCGTCTGCTGTTGTGCTAAATAGTTCCTAGACTATTCTTCAGTCAGCGAAGGCATTGCTTCAGTAAGCAATTTTGAGGCAGATAGTCAGATTTTCTGGTCTGATAACAGGCTGCTAATGGAATGAGAAAGAAAAAGGATCTGAAAGCAAATATTTTCTTCATCTTCCATAGCCTTGAATTACTGGACAGAGCATTCCTGGGCGTCTCACATTTCCGCACATTACTCAACGAGGTTCTTAAGCGATGCCATTTCTGACATATTGCTTGCTTGCTTTTCCAGTGTTTTTATGCATTTTGCCGCCCGCTGCGGGGTGCAAGAACCTTATCTTATCTTGAATTTTCCTTCCTGGATATGCTTTTGGATGGGTACAAAGTTCTCACTAGACTAGAGAGTAAGGAGAGTTTGGTGCTTCTGATTATGGGCAGGGAGAAGTCTTGCACACAACCGCTTCCACACAGAATAACATAGTTGGACAACTGCTTGCACCTTAGATTCTGATGCAGCACAACACAACTCAGTTCATTTTGGGTTGCGTGGCGAGTTCCCGTCCCCCCCCCCAAGTGGAAATAATGACACATGGCACAATTATTAAGGTTAATGGGCTAAATAAGGCCACAACTTTATTTGTTACAGGCATAGTTGTCAACTTACAGATTTGAAAATAAGGGACCAGCAGCCTCGAAAATAAGGGATCAGCAGCCAAAATAAGGGATTTTCTGGGCACAGGTATGTTCAACTTCTGAGCCCCTCTGAGCCAAAGGCAGAAAGCCCAGCCAACAGCCAAACGAAGCCTCAAGCGGTGGTTCCCACAGCGCAGCAACCCGGGGAAGGGGATGCAGCAAGGAAAACCACCGTCACCTCTCCACTGGGAAGCGCTGAGCAAAGGCGAGTCCCCAGGCAACGCGGCCAATTTGATCGGCACAAGGCATGCAAGCTCCACCCCCCCAGTCGTTCTTAGACTCCTTATTGGGTGAGCAACGCAGCCAAGCAACACAGTTGGAGCCTCCCTCCTCCCTGGCTGGCAGGGAGGGAGGGAGAGGAGCTGCTTCCTTTGAAACCCGGGAAATTTAAGGGACATCATCAATAAGGGACAGCAGCGGGACACGGCACTGGGATAAGGGAGTTTCCCGCCAAATAAGGGACAGTTGACAGCTATGGTTACAGGTGATGAGCGGTATTGGCTTAGGCATTGGTCCAAACCGACTCTATCCGGCTTCAGCCCATCTGCTTGAAGTCCGGGAAGGGTTAACCACCAGTAGGGGGAGTCCTGCTGATGCACATCGACTAGGAACTCCCCTAGGGTCACCGATAGGGGGCGTGCCTTAGGCTTCCTAGGCTTCGGACAGGGCCACGCACCCCGGAATCCTTTACCAGACTACCCTTCAATATGCAGGGCAGGTGATGGCGCTACCTCCCCTCTTCCATCTACAGAACTATACCAATGCCTAACCGCCACTCGAGCAAAAGGCTCAGAATAGCTGGCGAACGGCAAAGAGGGAGATCCCCGGCTGCTTCCTGCCTTAAATAGGGCAGGCCACACCCCCTGAGCCAGCCGATTGGCTGGCCAGGAGGTGACGTGGTCGGGAATGCCCCCAATCGTGCCCGTGACGCCCACAATCCCACCTCCTCCATAGGGCAGAAGTGGCTTTATCTTCCAGTGGTGTGTTGAATGGGAAATGAGTCAGATAATTGACAATGTGGATTCCGTGCTCATCTTTCAGCTACTAACCCATGCTTGTCACTCTGAAATGCTTGTGTGCTCTGGTTCTCCATCCAAATCCTTGGACTTTCCCAACCCCTTCAGGCAGTGGTCCCCAATTAGGGGTTGGGAGCCCCCCAGAGGGTCCAGGGAATGTACCCAGGGGGTCCACGCCCCCATTCGTTGCCTTCCCCCAACTAATTTTTTTTTTTTCATTTTTGCATAGTAATATCACAAAACTTATGGTTTGTTTTAGCATTGTGCGATTTTTCAATATATTGGCCCAAATCGGTTTTGAAATCACACTGTGATGCTGATTTTGACCCAGCAATACGCAGCTATATATCATTCCTTGCACCAAGGAGACCAAGGCAGCTGATTTCTCTTTTTTGGGGAAATTATTTCTATTTGATTATACAAAGTTAAATTTATAACCATACCAAATACTGAGGTCTGTTTCTTTTTGCTGTTTCTTTTGCATTTTGTTTTCGCGGCTCTTTTGTTTTTGTTTTCGTGACTGTGTGGAACCCAGTTCAGCTACTGATGGATTGATTGTGTGACTGCAGTACAGTGGTACCTCGGGTTACATACGCTTCAGGTTACATACGCTTCAGGTTTCAGACTCCGCTAACCCAGAAATAGTACCTCGGGTTAAGAACTTTGCTTAAGGATGAGAAAAGAAAGCGTGCTCCGGCGGCGTAGCAGCAGCAAGAGGTCCCATTAGCTAAAGTGGTGGTTCAGGTTGAGAACAGTTTCAGGTTAAGAACAGACCTCTGGAATGAATTGAGTACTTAGCCTGAGGTACCACTGTACATTGTTTATTTCTTTCATTTTATGGATCCATGGTCTTGTTAGATAGTAAAATTCAAGTTAAATTGCTGTTTTAGGGGTTGTCTTTAAAAGTCTGGAATGGATTAATCCATTTTGCATTGCTTTCCATGGGAAAGCACTCCTTGGTTTTGGGATGCTTTGGTTTTGGAACGGACTTCCGGAATGGATTAAGTTTGAGAACCAAGGTACCACTGTACCTAAAATCATATTAGGGGCTACCCCACATTTTGTTCAAAAAATTGCTTTGCAGAAGTAACTTCCAAAGAGTTATCAAAATTCTCAAAAGTAGGGGGTCCGTGGCTTGGCTTTTGAAAAACAGGGGCTCCTCAGTAATTAGCTGATTGGGAAGCACTGCCTTAAGCAATCCCTTCTCCATGCAGTCAGGACTGCAGATAACAATGTATGTCTTAGCTGACAGTATTACATTTCATCTGTTTTCTCTCTGGGTTATAAGGCTTTGTGCTGTATGCTAAGCCCTTCCAGAACAAGCCTGAGGGTGGGAAAATGGGAGGCTCCAACAAGTTCTTCGTTTATTAAAGTAAACAGATAGCCATATGAGCAGACAGTTCACAATTCAATGGGGAAAAATCAATACGAAGGGTCTTCTTTTTCTAAAAAAAAAAAATGCATTGAAGTTTATTGTACAAGGTTTGTAATATGTTTAAATACCAAGAGAACACTGGTTGCCAAATAACACCTTAAATATTTCAAATCGGAGCAGTATATTATAAACATTGGCAGTGATTTTCTTTGTAAATAGGTTTAACCTCGAGCCTTCTGTCATTTTGTATTTCTGCACAGGAAATTAACTTTCTATATCCTCTCCGTACGTCGAGGAAAGAGAAAGTTGGAAAACTCCAAGGGATTTCCCCAAAAGCCTCCATATAAATTTTAAAATTAAACAGATGTTACATGATTACCATTAAATCGGAGCCATGGGTTCCTAAGTTAGAGATGATCTGTGATGTTGTGAACCGAGAGATGAAGCGGATTTTTTTCAATTACGGCAGGTTTCCCAGATCAACCCCCCCACCGCTGGCCAGGATTTCATGAAATCCAGAGGGTGCTTGGGTCTCAGCAAGAGTTTATAAACATCCAAAATAAGTTAATACCCTCCAACTAGTTAGGCAACTATAATCATGAATGTAGATGAGCCTGTCACTGCAAGTTTCCTCCGACAACAAAAA